TAGAAAATATAACCTATATATATATTTTTTTTTACAGATTACTTTACATTTTCTTAATCCAAGAGGGCAAAATTAAGTGTGTATACTCGTCGAACTGGTTTCATCAATTGACAGATCTTCATTCATAAATATACCGAAGATAATTGGAATATAATTATCGACTCTCTAAGTTTATTACATCCTTATAGGTGTTATACCAGTACAGAATATGACTTTTCTACGTAATAAAACAAACAAAAAAAAAAAAGTAAAATGCGGAATTAATAATGTACAAATTATTATTTTAAAAAAGTTCGTGTTCTGTTCCGCTATTTCGCCGAAGAGAGGAGATATTTGATTGGCTACGACCGACTTCCTTATAAGAAAGCAGTCAGACAAGTCTTGAAAGGCGCAGGTTGCTACTACACGGAATAGCCACATTCTTAGTTAACGAGCAATCCATGTATATAGTATCTTGTGTTGACATCGGACATGTAAATTTATCAAACGGAATATAAATAGCATGGCCAAGAAACTAAGAAAGTTTCTGATTATTCTAGACAACGAAAGTCTATTATATTTTCCAGGATCTTTTTTATCGGGACGTGTTTTAGTAGATTTGGATGAGGAAACACCTGTTTTGGGTGAGTCAATTATCAAATTTTTATTCCTTTATTGATAATATCTTCGTCTTAACTAAACGAGTTTCTTATTTAATTTATATATATATAATATATATAAAAAGAAGTACAGTACATGAAAAAAAGAACTAAATATGTACATTTAATACCGTTTCTGTATTAATGAAGTATCGAGAAAGGAGAATAAAGTAGTATTTTAGGAAAAATCGTAATAAAAACAAGAGAGAAATATACACAGAAGGAATGATTTAGGCCTTTAGGACACTTTAGGAGTTGTCCCATTTTCGTAGTTTGGCATTAGGCCAAATTGTAGGTGTTGTAAACCTGATGGATACAAAGCTGTACAGTTAATCTCGACTGTATAAAGTTTTTAACAATTAAAATAATCGTTTTCTATCACTCGATCGATTGGAGTAGATTCACCACCAAACTAATCTTAGCCGTGAATAGTGGTGTTTTGTTGACACATTAGCGAACTTCTTGTCGTCTCTAATGGAATTCCCTTTAATGATAGACCCACAAAGATTTATAGAACTAAATGAACTGATCGTTTTCTTACACTCCATTCAATCAGTAAATCGGGGGAGGAAAAAAAAAACAACTGTTATTATGAATAATTTCAGTGCTATTGTCACACAATATGAATCCTGCCTGACCCCGAAATTTGCGCTACATTAATTTTAGAGCAGAGAATTTTAACGTGCTAATTAATTAATTTTAATCTCCTAGAGACGTTATAAATTTATTCGAACAGATAGAGAAAATTAAAATTTTCGCTTTAGCTACAGATTTAAACACCATAGAATATTGCAAACTTAAAACTAATTAGAGCCGTCAACATAATTAATTCGGAAGTTATGGCACGTTTCAAGTGTTAATGAAAACCTCATTACTAAAGTTAATAGCAGGATGCAAGAGAGATTTATAAGGGGGTGGAAATACGCGTAGAATTCACGCTTACATAGAAAATATTTAGAGAATAAGAATGGCGAGTTAAACGGAAACGTGTCCTAAATCGTTCAAAGAAAACAATGTCCTATTTTTCTTCAGTAAAAGAACAAAATGTGTGACTAACGATCCAAGAAAGGTAGAACGTCGTCAACTATTCTCAATACAAGAACTGCAGGAGACGTTTTCTATAAGAACTGCACTCAAAACATTTGTTGAATGAATTACGGCTTAAGGACTTCGCATTATTATTATTATCATTCGACTTGTTTTCCTTGAAAAGAACAGCCTATTACTGAAATAGACTGATAGAAAATTAAAAGAAAAAGATTACAGAAAATATTACTAAATGTACTTATCTAGAATGTACATTGGCGTATTAAGGCCTCCTTCAGAGACACGGTAATGAGTGGGACCCAAAAGAATTTGAATTAGGAGGGCCCCCATGTAGACTTACAGTGTTGATTTTCAGATATTTTTCTTCGGGAAATTTGTTTTTTTTTTAATATAAAAGATTGATTTAGGGCCCTGTATTAATGGAAACTCCAGGCAATTACCCCCTTTTTTTTGCCCATAGGATAACGAGGCCCCTAAGGGCTGATACAGTGTTGCAATGTAAACAGGAGTGTAGCGTTATTATTCGAAGAAATTAAATGAGTAAGAAAAGTAAATAAACGAGATTTATGTACTTATCTTACTTCAATTTAATCTCACAAGATATATATATATATATATATATATAATTCTTATAAATAAAGCATTATATTTTTTTTAAATAAAATAAATAAAGCTTTTCATAAAAATAATAGAGGAAACTAGTGACATTACGAAAACTTATTGATAATATTAGGAGTTATAAAAGGAAAAAAATGGCAATGATAAGAAAGCGTGAGAAGAATAAACGAAATGATGACATTGATTTGAAAATGGGAACGAAAAAAAAAAATGATTATAGAGAAGAAAGGATATCGAAAAACGTCATTTCGTTTCTTGTTTTCTAAGAAAAACAAGGAAGGCAAATGACAAAAACACTCCAACAATTCCAATAATCTTCGCCAACCTTTATTATTATCGTTGTTGCAAGATGAGTCAAATTAATACCTCGTTGCTTTTCATCCCCCATATAGAAAATATAACCTTTTTTTTCTATAGATAGACTTTCTAAAGTACGAATTATTTAAGAAAATTATCATCAAATTTTTAATTATTTCGTCTAAATGTATAATAGATTATTCAGTATTTAATTTATATATTTCAATTCCTACCTAGTGTGTATATAACGTTTAATTAGTTGTTAGATAGATAATTAATGAGTGAAATAAAAAAAATAAACCAGGCAAAACTTGTTTGATAAGTTTAAGTGTATAGAAACAAATATAAAATCGAATTATTTCTTTAAATAAAATCTAATACATAGACTGGTAGAGAGATTTTCAAATGACTGTATAAAAAAAAGAAGTACAGTACATGAAAAAAAGAACTAAATATGTACATTTAACACCGTTTCTGTATTAATGAAGTATCGAGAAAGGAGAATAAAGTAGTATTTTAGGAAAAATCGTAATAAAAACAAGAGAGAAATATACACAGAAGGAATGATTTAGGCCTTTAGGACACTTTAGGAGTTGTCCCATTTTCGTAGTTTGGCATTAGGCCAAATTGTAGGTGTTGTAAACCTGATGGATACAAAGCTGTACAGTTAATCTCGACTGTATAAAGTTTTTAACAATTAAAATAATCGTTTTCTATCACTCGATCGATTGGAGTAGATTCACCACCAAACTAATCTTAGCCGTGAATAGTGGTGTTTTGTTGACACATTAGCGAACTTCTTGTCGTCTCTAATGGAATTCCCTTTAATGATAGACCCACAAAGATTTATAGAACTAAATGAACTGATCGTTTTCTTACACTCCATTCAATCAGTAAATCGGGGGAGGAAAAAAAAAACAACTGTTATTATGAATAATTTCAGTGCTATTGTCACACAATATGAATCCTGCCTGACCCCGAAATTTGCGCTACATTAATTTTAGAGCAGAGAATTTTAACGTGCTAATTAATTAATTTTAATCTCCTAGAGACGTTATAAATTTATTCGAACAGATAGAGAAAATTAAAATTTTCGCTTTAGCTACAGATTTAAACACCATAGAATATTGCAAACTTAAAACTAATTACAGCCGTCAACATAATTAATTCGGAAGTTATGGCACGTTTCAAGTGTTAATGAAAACCTCATTACTAAAGTTAATAGCAGGATGCAAGAGAGATTTATAAGGGGGTGGAAATACGCGTAGAATTCACGCTTACATAGAAAATATTTAGAGAATAAGAATGGCGAGTTAAACGGAAACGTGTCCTAAATCGTTCAAAGAAAACAATGTCCTATTTTTCTTCAGTAAAAGAACAAAATGTGTGACTAACGATCCAAGAAAGGTAGAACGTCGTCAACTATTCTCAATACAAGAACTGCAGGAGACGTTTTCTATAAGAACTGCACTCAAAACATTTGTTGAATGAATTACGGCTTAAGGACTTCGCATTATTATTATTATCATTCGACTTGTTTTCCTTGAAAAGAACAGCCTATTACTGAAATAGACTGATAGAAAATTAAAAGAAAAAGATCTACAGAAAATATTACTAAATGTACTTATCTAGAATGTACATTGGCGTATTAAGGCCTCCTTCAGAGACACGGTAATGAGTGGGACCCAAAAGAATTTGAATTAGGAGGGCCCCCATGTAGACTTACAGTGTTGATTTTCAGATATTTTTCTTCGGGAAATTTGTTTTTTTTTTAATATAAAAGATTGATTTAGGGCCCTGTATTAATGGAAACTCCAGGCAATTACCCCCTTTTTTTTGCCCATAGGATAACGAGGCNCTTAATTTGAATTTTTAAATGTTTAAAGCCGGTATTAAACCGCTTAAATAGGCTTTATAAAAATAATTAGGCTATAAACGTCGGTATCTAAGAGAAGAAAAACGAAAAAAACAAGTAATGATAACAGTGATAATTCCATGGTAAAGATGACTTTTAAACCAATTTCTGGTAACTACTACCTCAAAATACTTATCAGTTACTGTTACCTTCCACATAATAAGTATAATAATACATCGAAAACACTTAAACTTTCCTTAATTTCGTGTCAACCGTATCGACAGCCTACTTTTAACCCATTACACCATTCTTTCTAAATGATGTATAAGGAAAATTAAGCGTGTAATTTTGCAAAATACGTTGATTGTTACAAATATTATGCAACGCAATCGATTGTACGACAGAATAAATATGTTTTTTTTTTTTTTATTTTAACCTAAGAAATAAATGTTAACGTTTTCGTTTTACGTCCGTTCTTGCATTTCGTGCGAAGTTATCAGAGCTTATAACAATGAAAATTGCAGGACGTGAGCCATTAAAGAGGGGGAATAATATAATAATAATAAAGTTCTTTTAAAAGGAAATATATAGTAGAAAAAAATCACCTAAATAACTTGCAAATAAATTTTTCACATAAATATTAAATAGAGAAGAATCCTTCTGAACCTACGAATTAATTGACCAATGTAAAATTTTTTATTGTAAACAGCAATGGAAGCCTAATTTTTGGGGGATTATTTTAGGCCCCAAAACAATCTCTTATAAGAAAATACTTCACCCAAAAATTCCCTCGATGTAAAAAGTCAACAATGTAGGCTAAATGGGGCCTCCCCCCTAATTCAATTTCGTCAGAGCCCCACGATGCTATAACGCTCCATTGTTTATGTAGAATTATCTTTAAATATTTTATATACGCTTTATAAATAGAAACATTCTAATATGAGTTCATTAAAATATATCTAATTTAATATTAAATTATATGAATTAAAGTGAAAATTACGCAAAGTGAAATTAATTATAGCCTATATATAGTCCTTATTATTAAAGTCAATATAAATTAATTTATGAAGTTATTATACAGTATTTAGTTCATTAAATCCTATAAATTATTTCTCTCTCTTGTTATAATGTAAATAAATAAATATCTGCTCACGTTTTTTTATAAGTCGTTATTTCTCTTTTATTATATTACACAAGTGAACTTCGATCTACCCGTTGAGAAGTAGCAATTTCTCAGTAATAGAGAGATTGCAGCCGAAGTTTTCATCTCTCAAACGTGAACGTCGAACGTCGAGCGCCGCTTAAGTAAGCGGTGCTCGACGTTCGACGTTTACGTTTGAGAGATGAAAACTTCGGCTGCAACCTCGCTAATATAAATGCTAAAAATCCAGTTTGATTGTATCGTGAATTCGATAGGAACAATTTCATGCTTTAGATAAAAAAAAATGGGTGTTTTCCTAAGCGTAAGAGCACGATAACAACATCCAAATTCCAATATTATCTTAAGAGCCAGAAATATCCTTTTCTAATTCGTTTCGCATTATTGCCGAACGAAAACGAAAAATCTTCTTCAACCATACGAGAATTACAGCGTTGCATAGAAGAAAAGATTTCAAGAAAGTACATTATGCTGTTTCTAAACCATAAAAACAATCTGATAATTCGGATTTTTTTTAAAAAGTCATTCAGCCCTGTGGCCTTCTTTCCGTGCCCACAACGGGAGAACCCTATAGATGAGGAACGGGCCTGGTCATCCCACATCAATAATTTCTCCTATTATGGGCCTGGCCAAATCACCACCTTAAAAAATCCTCGGTGTTTTGGGGGTTGAGGATTTGATCCCGGATCCTATAGTACGGTAGACTGATGGCTTAACCGCCTCGTGTACGAAATATTTCCATATTATTATGAGTGATGCTATAAATAATCATAAAAAGTATTGTTCTAAATAAGTAAAAAAAAAAAATTGGGAGATAATCTTAAGGAATAAATAAATACCATAGAGTACATTGTGTAGTTCACATCAAAAAACAATACAATGCTAGGTCAATATAAAAAAATAATAATAAATTTATAAGAATTTATTAGACCAAAACCAAAAAAAAAACTATTTCAAAATTGTATTTATTTAATGTAATTTAATTCATTTGTTTATTTAAATTTAAAAATAAAAAAAAAATTTAGTGTGGAAACACTTGGTTATTAAAATCCAATTGTGACATTGAAAGAAAATTGCATTTAAACTATTGCAAAATTTGTTCTGTTGTCAACTGCATCCGATCAATTTGATCGATAGAAGAAGTGTATTGATTTTTTTTTTGCAACAGCAAAAGAGCAATTGCGAATCAAAAAATACAAAAATCTTTTAGCTTTAACCAGAGCATAGAGAGGGGATCGATACCCCGATGATCTTTTGTTGATAGCAAATTGTTTCAAAGATATAACATTAAAGTAATTTTCCTTTGATTCTTTTTAATCCACACGTTATTTTGTAATATATAATTATAACAACTGTACGTAAAAATCGAGAAATAAACGTATTTTTATGTAAAATTTTCAGCAAAATCAAGTGAACAAAAGATTCTTGTATGAAATGTTTACAAGAAAAATCGTTTGTATATATGATATATTTAGAAAAGGTATTTATTAATCGCTACTGAATACAAAAAAAATTGATTTTAAATAAAGAAATTATTCGCAGTTGGAATTAAAAGCACGATTCTTTCGAAGAGTTTCCATTGAAAATAAAGAAAAACAAATCGCATGCTAATTCGATTGTTTCTTCCTTATCTAAACATTAAAAATAAAATAATTTCTCGAGTAGAATTATTTTATATAATCTTATACAAAGCCGAAAGATTCCTTTTTAACTTAATTGATTTTCGGATTGAAAAAAGAGAGATAGAAACTTTCATTACTTTCTACAATGATTAAAAAATAACTAATTCAATATCGAAAATTGCTTCCAATACCACCGACGATTTAAGTATATTTCTATTAACAGAATTACTTAAAAATAAAAATAATAATAAAAAATCTCTTCCGAGTAAAAATCAGCAGAGCAAAAAAATACCCTTTATATATTCATAATTCACGAATTTAAAGTAGAAAAAAAAAATCACCCTTTAAATACTTTAGTTCCTTTGCTTCTGGTGTTCTTCACGTTACTATTTAATTCCATTCAAAATTTCGAATTCTTCGCTACCAAATCTTATCGAAACGTGTTCAAATCGATGAACATGACGCCATTTTTAATCTAGTAAAAAAAAAGTTTTTATTAAAATAAGAGAAACATCTTTATTAAATCTTATATAATAACTTAATTATAAAACTATTTGTAACTTAATAAATATTGATTATTCTTTTTTTAGGGCTCTATTTCCACATCGTTGGAGAGGGTGTGGTTCGTTTATCTAATACCACCGGTGCCGGCAGTTACAACGATAAAGAAAATTATATAGATTTTCGTATGAAACTGCTTGGAGATACTCAACCTAAAGAAGGTAAGATTACCTTTTTTTTTTTCTATAAATTACCTCGTCTTAACAACTATTATTTTACTAACAGATGGCATCATACTTCTAAAGAATTTTGGGGGAAAATTTTTATTTTGGACACTGTAATTACGGGAGAAAAAAAAAGTACACTTCGATACTAAGAAATTACTTTTCGCTACGTAATTAGATCCGGAAAATAGAACTGTTTTTTTTTTTTTTTTTTTTTGAAAGGAGATAGTAAAACTCGTTGATAATTGGACACATATCGGGTAATTCGGCTTTCTCAATGGCATGTGACTACCGGCACGTGACGTTTGACACCATCAGATACCAACCATCACACCGTCCTTCGGAAGAAATATTAGAGAAAACAATGACTTAAAAAGCAAAAAAAAAAAAAAAAATAATAATGTTCTTAACGACCGAATACATTCGGTCCAATTAAGCGAAGTGTGAGAGAATTTCTGATTTTGTGGCGTGTAATATCAATAAGTTAGCCTTAACATGGAGTTAGATACTTTAAAGCAATTAGCTTTCTCTTGTAATTGTAAAGATCCATTGATCCGAGCAAAAGTATCTGTTCGAGACACTCCATTCATCATCTCATCCTTATGCCATAAACTAACTACAATACTAATTATATAAAGTTTCTGTTAACAAATCGTGTGATGTTTCTCTCTCAATTCTTTTAAAGTAGATAAGTCCTTTATAAAAACTTATTTTGTATTATTTTAAAAATATATTTTTTAATTAATTAATTAATTAGCTCTTTCAGGATATTTCGTGTATATTTTTTTTCAAATCGCGGTTCAGTTTCCATTCGATTAAATTGGAAATTCTAAACGAGTTGAGTCAACAGAGCCAGGAAAAAGAAAAAAAAAAATACATTACCATTTGTAGGTGTTGAAGGTGGGCCTATTTACAAGATTCGTGTCACGGTCAAACAAACATCCTTTCATTTTCCTTTTACAAATTCTCGATCACGTCAGCGGCAATTGTTTTTTTTTTTTTTTTAAACAAAAACCTCGACATTTAATCTGTTAAAAATTATTATTTAAATAAAAGATAAAACATTATTATTATTATTTTTCCAGAAAATTTAGATCGAGTAGTCATTCTATCCCCCGGAGTTCATTCGTTTCCGTTCAAACTGGGTTTACCTTTAGGTTTGCCTTCTACATTTTTAGGTAAACATGGCTGGGTACAATACTATTGCAAAGCGGCTTTGAAAGAACCTTCCGGTTTAATACACAAAAATCAACAAGTGTTCATAGTGATGAATCCTATCGATTTGAATCTTGAACCTCCTCTTCTCATGGTAATTCTTTAAATTTAACTCGTTCCTTTCTATTCTATATTTAAATATTATTATTATTATTAAACTACTTCGTATTATCATTTAATATTAACAAAGATAATGTATAGAATTATTGATAATATATATATAGAAAAATATTCAAATATATTTTTTAGCAACCTTTCCATTGCGAAATAGAGGAAAATCTTGGTGTTCCTTGTATGACTTCTGGTCCAGTTACTTGTAGAGTCCGACTAGACAGAGGGGGATATGTTCCAGGAGAAAGCATTTGTATTTATGCTACAATAGATAATAATAGTCGCGTTACTATCAGGAAAACCAAAGCCATCCTGACCGAAGTAAGTCGATCGTCTTTCGTTAATTATTTAAAAAGTGATGACTAGAGACATTATTAATGAACATTCATTATTTGTAGACAATACAATATACGGCTAAAAATAAACTAGTGCACTCGGAAACTCGGGAACTAGCATCGTTAGAAAAGGGACGTATTCAAGCCGGAACTTCTGATTATTGGAAAAATGAAATGTTATACATCCCTCCTTTACCTCCAACGAATTTACGAGGATGTCATTTGATACGTGTTCAATACGATGTTTATGTAAGTGTTTAAATTAATTATTCTATATAAAAATAACATAATAACTTTCAAAATGCAAACATATTGTACTGACGATCAATATATTTCAAAGTTTAATGTTATAGGCTAATATTACTGATATTATATTATACAGTATTTTATGTTATGTAAAATATATTTTTATATATAAAAAATATACTTTAACATGGATTATTTTAGATTTATTACATGTAACAATGTTTTTTAATATTGATATTTACCAATTTTTTTATTGTTAAATGAAAATATCAGTACAATATTGTTTAATAACAATGTATTTTTTCTATTTGATCTTACATTTGAATGATTTTCTTCTTATAGAATTTGTTATTAGATATATAAATAACCTAGGATATATATATATATATATACATTATGTTACTATAAAGAATATTAAATTTATATTTTATGGAATTTTCAAAATATTAAAATGAAATATAAGAATTTNTTAAATGGTGAAGAAGAAGTTAGAATAAACAAATTTGAACAAATTATTAAATGTTATAGTATAGAAAAATAAAAAAAAAAAACAATGAGACTAAGGATTTACTGGCTACAGAATACTTTGTTGCTATCAATTAAGGCAGTTCAGTATGATAAGAGTTAATTTGCATATATGTAAATCAACATTGTTCTAAGATATTAATGAATAAAGAAAAGAAGAAGGAAAAAAAAAAGGCTTTATTATCAAGTAGAAATGATGTGTTTAATTACTTTCAAAAATAAAACAAGTCCATTGTTTTATTTTTATCTTTCGAGATGAAGCTCATAATTTTCTTCTGGGAATATATTCTTCTGAAGATAGAATTATATTATTCTGAGAACATTAAGTGTTATAGTAATTAACATTTTCTTAATGTTCTCAAAGTAATATTTTTTATTCACTTATGTTTTTTTTTTTTTTGAAATGTTTCATTTATATATCTAAAAGTTTACTTTCATATTTCTATTTAATGTAATTTCGTTATCAATGCTTATATTTACTGATAAAAAAAAAGTTACAAGAAATAGTATAAATTTATGTTTAATTAATTCAAATTATTCAAGGTGTAATCTTAATATGACATATATTTATGTATATTTTAATAATTTTGACATTATTATTATTAACAGCAAATTTATTTTTTATTCAGTAAGTAAATCAATAATAATTTAAACTAAAAGTTGTGAGTTTATTGATTAGAAATAACTTCTTTAGAATGAAAAATTTCTGAAGAATTTTGCCATGATAAACACAAAGTACAGTCGACCCCCCCTATAACACTGTTGATAATTCCGTTTTATATGAATTCCATGTTGTACGAGTCACTTAGATTTTATAAATATGTGAGCCATTCACAGCCCGGCACACATATTTGTAAAATCTAAGTGACTAGTACAACATAGAATTCATATAAAACCGAATTATCAAGTGTTATAGGGGGGTCGACTGTATATTCAATAACATAATTATGTTTTACAATTCTTTATCATAGTAAAAACTGAACATAAATGGCAATTTATTTATAATTTACTATAAAACAAAAAAAAATCAAAAATAAGCATTCTTTCAAAAATTTGTCAAATAGTGCAGCAGTATGATTGTTTTTGTTATAAAATTGTAAGTGAACTTACTCTCTCTATTAATTAAATTTGTGCTAATCTTGGTCAAAAGATAGCTAACGAGTTTGTTTACTTGCATTTAAAAAAAAATAATGCATAGAAGTTGTATTGTTCCAGTTTTTAATAACAGTTATAAGAACCATAAAGTCAAAAATTCTGCTTTTACATTTCCAAAAGTCATACACAGATGAAAAAATAGATAAATACAATCCCAAGTAAAAAAATTCTTATCCAATTTTAAATAATATGGATTCTTCTGAATTATATTTTAAAGATCATTTTATCAAAAGAAGTTTTGATCATTATATTAATGACATTCTATAGTAAGAGATTAAAGAACTAAATAAAAAGGAAGATCCAATACAAATGTCATTTCCTAACTTCTATTTCATATTAGTAATATTCACCAAATCCATTAACAAACTTCAAACAAAATTAAGCTCAAGTAAAAAAATTCCTGTGGTGACTAATACAGTAAAATCCAGCTTAAACCTAATTGAGAAGGTAACAAGTTATAAATATTGAAGAATTTTACAGGATGCTAGTCTATCTGCATTTTCATAAAGTTATTTATTATATGTGTAAATTCATATATGTATTAACTACATACCAATAGTGACTATTTCTATTTATAACTGAATTTTAATTAAAAAAAATATCGGCTATTCAATGGCTACTTTTGAGTTAGTGACGTTCATATCGTGGCATTTTTCAATGGCACTTTGGGAAAAGGGTTATATTGATTGTTAACGTGCGGAATTTATGATAGTATCGAGTGTTGCCAGTGAATTAGATTACATGTATTTCTTTTTTTTTGGACGACATAACAAGTTTTAAGGAATGTACAGTTATAGAGAGTAAAGTTTCTAGGATTCTAGTGTATAAGATATATACAATATTCTGAAATTTATTGTTTACAGTCAGATTTAACTTTCATTATATTGTGATAATAAATATCCCGAAATGACAATTGACCATACAATTCATGGCCTGCAAATCGGTTATTGACAATTTTTTTCTTATTAATCTTAAAATAAGTTTTTAATCAAAAATTAATAACATCAAGTTAAATAACTTTTATAAAGTTTAAAATTTTAAATATTCTTTATGTACCATACTTTAAAGAGTCATAATAATTATTTATGTAAAAAAGACATTTTTATTATTAAAAATATTAGGCTTCTATTTTAAATAAATATAATTTTCATTATTTAATTAAATAAAAGAATATATATAGAGTAATTCATTTCACAATTCACAGAATTATCTACTTAACCAGCATTTAATGTCTAATGTTAAAAATCCCACTTACTTTACTTTTTGAAGTGTTTCATACTTAATTATTTCCAAATAACTTTTCTTCGCTGAATATTGATTGCAATGCATTAAAGAAGACAATTCAAACAGTTATATATTAGTTTATATATGAAAGGATAGAGAGAACACTCCATTAACATCTGGTGGCTACGAAAAACAAGAGTGTAAGAGATGAGGCATTATGTTATTTATAAACTATGCCATATACAAAAAAGATTGCTACATTATTGATATTTATTATTACTTTTATTAATTTTCTTATTTCTATAATGCAAATTATGAACACCTACTGTAAAAAATTCTATGACAAAACATTTTATAACAGTGTATATACTTAGTATGAGTACAATATACTGAATAAAATCACTGTTTTATATGTTAAACAATGTTCATATTGTATATTTAAAGGTATTTTTTTTTCAAATCATCAATTTTATTTTTGTATTTAAAAGATTAATTTTTTTTTCATGTTATGAAGTATTTAAGGTCAATGAATGTACAGTATGATAGTAACTTAGCCAGCATCATATCCCAGTCATTTAAGTACCCAAGAATGATCAGAGTATTAGGAGTTGAATAAACTTCAGTCAGACAGAAGTGGACCTTGAAGAAAACTAGTTTATTAGGATAAAAATCCAAATGATACTCTTCTGAGTCATTTTAGCTCAATATTTCAGACATACAGGAAAAAAACCTAACATAAATATCTATTAATGATAAATAAATAAATTATAATTAAACAAATATCTCACATTAAATCATATATACTTAGAACAGTTTGGAGCTTTTAGAATTCTACGTACATTACTATATAAGTAAACCCAGCAAACTTTAAGCAATGAATAACTAGGAAAAAATTCAAAATAATTATAAATATTCCATATCCACAAGATTAATAATTAGCTACATTATAAACATCATTTACTAGTAATATATATATATAGCAGTATTATAATTTTTCACATATTCTTTACATGAGTGATATACTAATTTATGTAATATATTTTTTTAGTTTTTAGTGCAGCCAAAAGGTCTTGATCGTGAAATAAAATTACAACTTCCTATTATGATGGCGACGTATCCCATTAAGAATACAGATGGAACTTTACAGAGAAGGAAAGGAACTAATTACCCTGCTATGTTGCCTGTATTTCGTCCATGGTTAAATGGAGGAACTCTAAAAAAATAATCTAAATTTTGTCATTCAAGGCCAAATGTTTAAGTATTTGAGATGCCAGAATCAAATTATGTATAAAAATTTTGTAATTCTGATGTAACATTTTCAATATCTAACTGATAATGTATCAGTTAAAGAAATTTAATGTAACACAATTTTATATATGTGAATTAATCAAAATTTAATGTGTGCCATTATTACATTGCCTTACTTTTATAACAAATAAAACAAAATGTACATATAAATTTAATTTTGCATTAAAATTTTTTAATTATTTATTAAAGACTTGTGAATTTTTAATAATTAGTATGATAAATCTTAACACAGAATTAATATAAAATTCTTATTGTTATTATTAAAATATAAATAAATCTATTGAATTAAATTACATTAAAAATAAGCATAGATTTACAAAAACAAGATTATTATGTATCATTTTTCAAAACTACATTAAAGAATAATTAGAAAATAATTATATTTATAAAACCACAAACTATTTTTTTGTCTTTCATCTCTGATGATGAAATTTTTTGACATCAGTCTTGCAAACAAATACCCGTTTCTTTCAAATCATTGTACTGTATTATTATAGATGAAAAAGAACAATCATCATTGTGTTTTATATTATACGGACCATCAGTAATATCAAATAAAGGCACTTCTGGCATAGTAACTTTTGATAACAATTCATCCTCGTTCCAAGAAACATTTATTAAATCCTTAGAAGATAAGTCTAAACTTTTTGAATCTCTTTCAGTTGAAGTAAAAATATCATCAAACATAGATTGCATTTCTTGAACAGAGTTATTAAGTGACTGGGATAACATCTTGGCACTATTAATAGAGGCATCTGTAATAAAATAATTTCATTCAATTTTTCATTTAAAAAAATATATATTAATCTTTAAAATTAAGGTTTATGTTAAATAAATTGTATACTTTAGTAAAATTATAGATTTCAATCATGCTCTATACCAGTGATTCTCAAACTTTTTCGATCCACCGCCCCCTTTGTTCCATAAAGTTATACCCAACGCCCCCTAACCCATTTTCTCTTGTGTGAGAAAAGGATTGGAAATATTCTTAGGAAAACTTTTCTATGAATCTCACACTTTGTGCCCTTACTGTACATTGTTCTCATCATCTGGAAACCATTAAACGCAATGTTTCCTCTTATCAGCCCCAATTTTGCCTTTGGTCACCGTTCAATACCCTGCCTCTATCATAGATCTATTCATCGCGCCAGAAGGGGGCGTTATTGCTTACTTTGAGAAACGCTGAGCTAAAATAAAAGTCAATGTGTTAGAAATATTCAAGTTGTGACCTTCAATAAAAAATAAAAAATATATAAAATGTCAACATTTTATATATATTCCGTCGAATTTTTATATATAGAATTTGTCTGCCGTCGCCCCTCTATATTTCCTTAACGCCCCCCAATTCTCTTTGAGCCTTCTACTGCCCCCCTGAAAGCCTCCAGCGCCCACAAGGGGGCGTTATCGCCCACTTTGAGAAACGCTGCTCTATACCAAAATCTACATATTAGCAATGAATGAATATCTAACTACAGAGATCACAGTTGAGAAAATTAAAGACAAAATAAATAATATACATAAAAAAAAATACAGTTCAAAATTGAAGAAGAAAATAGCACCGATAACAGCATTAATTACTTAGATGTAACAAATAAAAGAAACAATAATAGTATAACTTTCACTCCTTTCAAAAAACAATGCTCCATAAATAAAACAATTCACTACACTTCTAACATACCTATGTATATAAAAAATAATATGTTCAACATGGAATACTCTGAAATTAAAACAAGAACCAGCAAAAACTCTGAAATATATAAATACATAAGAGAACTAAAAAAGAAGTTTATGTTAAATGGCTATCCCAACAGAATAATTAACATCTGAGGGAAAAAAAAGCTAAATGATAAGAAATATGAAAGAATTAAAACAAATGACAGCATCAGATATATTAATTTTCCCTATATAAGATGTCTATACGAAGAGATAAAGAATTGAGAAAAATAAACGTAAAACTAGCACCAAATTATGAAAAACTACAGTCTAGATTAAGGGCAAAGCAATTAACAAGAATAACTAAACATGAAAAAGATGAAACAAAAAGTGTTGTTTATAAAATTCCCATGTACCTGTAGCAATACCAATGTTTATATAAACGAGACAAAACGGAAATTGTATGTAAGATTAAAAGAACATATATTGCCGATTTAAAACATAATAGAATAAACTCTGTATTTCATGATCACTGTTTATTAAATGATTGTAATATAGACAAACTAAATGTTGAAATTCTACATAGAGAAAAAATACATACAATAGAAAATTCAAAGAAAGTTTTGAAATCCTTAAAGCTAAAAACTGTATTAATAAAAATTTAAGTCTTAAAGTAAGTGAAAACTGATTAAATATTCTATAATTATATTAATATTAAAAATAAATTAAATTATAGCATGTAAAATGTAAGTTAAATAATTATATTCTGCCAAATTATGTAAATTTATATAAATCTGCATTATGACTGGATGCAGGAGCTGCACCAGTGTTGTGTAATGTTAAGTGTAAAAGTGATCTGTTGTAAAAGACTCTTAATGTCTATTAACCTATAATCTTTTAATTTGTGTACTGGAAATACTAGAACCCTTTTAAAAAAATTTTAACCTTAAACCAGTGAAATATCTTTTAAGGAAATTATTTCCCAGGTATGTACTTTAACAAATTTATGTATCGGTAAACTACCTTCTGTTACATAGTTCATATTTACAAGTTGATTATTTGTAAATTAGGAGCGAGTAAAAATTACGCTGGCAAAACCTGTTTTACTTATACACAAAGATTTTAAAAACATCATTGTAAAAAGAACAACTGAAATTTTAAGATATGTAATAATCGGTAGAAAACTTATAAATTTCTATATGTAAAATAAAACGCAAATTTATAAAATTTGTAGGGATGCCCCAAAACCAAAACCGGATATATATTATTATGCCAGTCCTATGAATGTATATACTTTCTGTTGAAAAAGTGCTTATGGTACATCACACAAAAAGAATTATTGATTTAATATTAAAATAATTTCTATGTTAAGCTATAATAGGAAAATGAATTTATGTAGAATCTTTTGATATTTAGTTGAGTGAGGAGGGGCAGTGCCCAAAACGTGTTATTGCACCTGTAACCGTATCAACTAAATAAAGACGGAATACCGCCAAGTGTTGAAATAGAAACACACCTTGTGTTAGTGAATCAAATTTAACTACCCATTATTTTTACACTATGTGCTTATAAGGATTACAGTAGACCCTCCTATAACGCTTAGATACGTTCCACGCTAATCGAATTTTACGTTGTAGGAATGATTAAATACATGAGCCAATTGCAGCCCGATAGGTGGGAACTTTACGGACTAAGGCTGTTCGAAAGGTTTTCTTCTATAAAATTAACCAATTCTAGACTAATTCCACTCAACATTTCCAAAACACGTATAACTTTTTGGGAGTAATCTGTATAAACTATGCTATAAACAAAAAATTATAGGATTACTTACCGATTGTGTACCGTTCGACTACGCCCGTTGTTCAAAGCTTGTCTTCGTCGCGGAACAGCACACGAAACGGCGGCCGCGATATCTGATAAATAATTTATCGCAGAAAGATAACTTGACCTTTGGAGACATCATTAATATAAATAATTTTTATGGCCGTTGAATAAGAAGTGTTTCTTTCACAAGAAATGTATAAAATTAGTGCTGTATTAGACTTACGGTACCTAATTTACATACTGTACAGACGATAATAAACTCAACTTACTAGCCTAAAATCTCCGTAGCGTGTTGCCAGGCGGCAGAAAGCATATATATAATTATAATAAAGTTACAATAAATTAAGTTAATATATAATTATATATACAGTACCTAATTTATATATAATTAATATATAATTATATGTACAGTACCTAATTTATATATAATTTATATATAATACTAAACAGACGATAGCAAACTCAATTTAGCCGCTCCGTAGCGTGGCGCAGGGTCGGAGGAAAGTAGTTCGGCTGCTCATCCACTATTGGTCCAGATTCTATCAATCTTGTTGCGAAATGACGTTATAGGAGGTATTTTATACGAATGTTTCTACAATTTTTTCGCTACGTTATAGGAATTGTCGTTATAGGAACGCACGTTATAGGGGGGTCGACTGTATAAGTATTGAGCACATCTTTTCAAAAATATATGTTACTCATTAGTCATTACTCTTGAAATCTCAACAAGCTAAATTATTTTTAACAATTTATTTGATTATATATAGTAGAGCCAAAGATAAAGCCAACTTTTTAACAACTTTTATTACATTAACAGTAAAGTATTTATAAAGATCATCTTCAAGATAAGCATTTTCAGTAGCTACACGCTGCTAAGTTCATACCACTTATTAAAACAGCATTGCAGTCAACTCTCTATTATCTCCTAAATTGCAATCATCATAGCATTTTTCACAACTGCTGATTTGAACTTGTGACCATTCTGTAAGCTTTCATTCTGATAAGAACTCTACTGTTAAACAATGTCTTCACCAAAATGAAAGCTCTACTGGATGGTTGCAATTCAAATCAGCAGAGGAGATGAAAAGTGCTATGATTGCATTCAAGGTGGTAACACAAAACAAATTGCAAGACTATTTAATAAGCAGTACAAACTTTGAAAAGAGGGTAACTGAATATGTTTATTATGAAGAACTTTTGTAAATATTCATACAATTAATGGAATAAAAGTTATTTGAGGAGTTTGGTTTATTTTTTACTCTACCACATACAATTTAATACTTCAAAGAAATATAAAGCCATAAAATAAAACTTATTTCTTTGATATAACTTTGTTTTATGCAATATTTTATAGTATAAAGTAAGTTTCATTAAGATGTAGCTTGAATTATAAGCAAAAAATTAATAGTTCGTGAAATCTAGCTCAATTTCTACTATAGGAAATGTGAACTAGAAATATGAAATTTTGAACAAAACTAAGACTTATGAAATCTGAAAAAAACATTTAAAATATTATTTCAAACTAATTGATACTTGTATACTGTAGTTTTGTAGTACAAGTAAATTATCAAATACAAATACTGAACATCCTGTACTGATACATATCCATTAATCAAAAGTAATATTTTTTATACATTGTTAATAAATATTTATTTTGGGATTCTACATAATCATTTACCTGTACTTTTCATTTTATATATGGTATTACCATTCATATTATTAGAATTTCTTTTTGTATATTCAGAGTCTGAATAAGTTGCTTTCTTTGATCATTGACTACATGAATCTTTATTTCTTTAGTAGAGAGAGTCTCTTTTGGATAATAATGCAAAGATTATGATATGTAAATGATAATGGAATCAGAAGTTAGCCAATCCATAATCTGTTTCATTATATTTGTGATTTTACTTTAATGAAAGCAATCAATATTTAGTATTATTTCAATCAATAAAACATCCAGTATTCAGCTAGATTGTGAATATTTATTTATTAAAGTAAAAAAAAAATTTAAAAGATGAAATGATATGATAAAAACAATCAAAAAGAATATGCTGAAAATGTGAAAAAAGTATCTCTATCTCCAAAGAAAGTTTTAAAAAACTTATTTATTGAGGAAGAAATGTTACAAGCTATCATAAACACATCAATTTAATAACTTGCTTCAAATTATTAGTAAATAATATTTTTAATTAGATGTAATCACAAGTAATATGTAATAATATACCTAATAATGTGGATTATAATAAAGCCAATTTCATTATTTATTTTAAAATGAATAACATACATTACATAAGCATTTATCAGCATAAGCAAATTGCTTATTAATGTTTATTATTTAAATAATATTTGGATTTTAAAATTGAATTCTATAATTTTTTGTTTATCATATATGTCTTCTTTATATTCCTAATAAAAATCCATAATTATTTAAATAAGTGTTATTTTAGATATGTTACAATACTGATAACACTTTCATTTTCTTATAACTTGCTTATTTTTAAAATAATAGTTTCAAAACTTGATAAGTTGTTAGTCTGAAATCACAACAGCTTAGCATTTTATGAACATTTAAAGATTGATTCGTTTTTTTCCATTAAAAAAATAATTCACTACCAATTGTTTTCAAGAAAATACTTTGCAAAGTCATTAAAGTTAGATTTGATTTGAATGAAATTTCAAGATGATTCATTATGAAAGATAAGTATTATAAAAGAAAAGTATTGGAAATAGCTATTCAAAATATAAGAATCATCTAGATAGATTTAAACTAGAACATAGAAAACAGTTGCTACAAAAGACATGAAGTTCCATATATCAGTATTTCATGGATTCTTTATTGTTTTACCCAGAAACAAATAAACCACAAAAAATTATGTTGGGATTTTTCAGTTGACCACTTATTCATATATGATGTCATATATTATTTTCTGTCTTTGTGTTTTATTAAAAAATGACAAGTAATAAAAATTTATCTCTATATTTAATTTTTGATGATGAAACCTCTAACTTTGGTTGTATATTTAAACAATCATGTACGGTATATACAGATATTGAATACAAAGAAAATATATTATGGCAGGCTGATTTCAGAAATGTGTGCATTAACATTTTTCTGTTTGTGAACAAAATGTAATGTAATTATTCTATACATTGACTAACAACTGATTTGTAATAAAAAAAATGTCAATAAAGTGTATATCTATTTTTCACTACACTGTATGTTGTATTTTAGATATGTTACCATACTTACCCTGTAAGATTTGATAATTTGTTAATTGCAAAAATTGCAAAGAAAAAATTAAAAAATATATAATTTATACGCTTTAACGAATTCTAACCTATTTCTTCATGTTGCTGACAATTTGAATTTATAATACTCGAATCAACTGGTGTTCTTTTCAATTTATCTCTTGTAATAAAAGCACTTCGTTCTATAAATAAAAACATATATTAAAAAAGCTATAATAATAGAACATTACGCTCTTATTTATATTTATAAATGTTAAAATTATATCATCTAATTACCAAATAAATCCGGTGTTAAATTGTCAACTGAATATGACGGCACATTCTCAAAACTATCTGATTCAGATCCATTCAAAACTGACTCAACAATCTACATAATAAAAAACATAAATAGGATAATTTCAGTAATTTGCAAATATCTTCGCCATTTATTTTTTTAAAAATACATCAAAAGAGAAAAAATAATACTTTTTCATTTTAATTTTTTTTAATTAATTTAATATATATAGAATAAAAAATAATATATAGTTAAAATTGACAACTACTGCTATGATTACCTTTATTATATCCTTTTTATCAGCTAAATATGGAATAAGATAGTAATTGTTGTAATTAATAATTACTATTAATTATACATAAATATAGAAAAATTATCTTGTGATATTATTACAATATAAAAATAGAGAAGAATCAAAATTTGAAAATTCTCTTATAAATTCTTTCAACAAATTCACATTATTGTTAGTAGATAATGAAATTAAAAAGCATGAATAGACCACATTATTTTCTATCTTTAATTATATACTATAATGTTTGATATTGTTTGCATACTAATTGTACATTTAGTTAATAAATAATTTCAAGTTTATGGCTTTCAATAAAGACAACAAAAAGCTGAAATAATATTTACTTGATTAAACTTTTAAACTTATACAATTCCATAGACTGGGGAGACCATTCCACTAATGGACATTTAAATTTTGCAATGCATATCTCGTCAAGAGATTTCCCACATTATTAAATGGCATCCATGTACTGAATCTGCAGTGTGAATTTCAGCAAGAAGGAGCAATATGTGGTCATAGGAAGTGGTAAACTAATTTCAGGTGTCTTGTTTAATTTTTTCAGGCAACACTTAAGATTCTCATCAGCTTGTTTTGCATTCCAGTTGAGACTAAAACATGAAGAAATATGTCTGTTGAGGTGCATGTTTAACATACAGAGTGTTTAACATTCAGATCTTGAGACTGTGATCCACTACCATTCAAACTTTAATCTTAACCTGTTCCATTAATCACTGGAAGCAGTCAACTTCAAAGTAAAAAAGTTTAGGCCTTGATCCTGTTCTCCAAATCCTTTTCAGATCTAGCTTCCAAACCATTTTCATAAACTTTTTGCTTCAATTGATATCAAAATCTCTGAATTGGGCTCAATTGCAGAACATTTGGATTACTGACTTCACATAAGATGAAAATTCCATAATGGTCCAACTTGGCAACTGTGTTGTGAGCAGAATGGGTAGTAGCCATGTCTAGTCAGAAGACAATATCCTTTGTCAAGAGAGTACAGTATTTTTTTAGGAAGGATACTAAAAATCTCTTCTGTATGCATTCATTGCCATGTACTTCTTTGATGATGAAGAACCATGACAAGACAATTAAGGTCCATGAATGTTCCTTTGTCTGATTGCCAGACAAACCAGAAGCTTCAGCGAAATCTTGGTGTGTGACTTCAGGATTCACATCTAGCCCCTCTTTGATGAAACAGTGATTGTTAGCAGCACAGTTGCTTCCATCAAAATTGAAATAGGACTTGTTGTCCATAATCACATCAAAATTGTTTGATGACTTCAAGATTCCATCAAGCAACTTCTGCAGGATTTTTTGATTAGTAAGTTTCTTCATCATGTATTTTGGAGCAGACTAATCTAGCAAACATGTCTATGTGAAATTTTGAACTTTCTACATAATTTTCTAAGCATTTGTCTAACTTTTTCCAAGGTCTCATCCTCCCTTCTTTTCAGCCATTTTCTTCATCTTCAATCATTTCCTGTCCTTTCAGCAGTCCTTCCTCTTGCTCTACCCTTAAAATGATGCTATACACTGTACACAATGGAAATCTGATTGCAAAGAAATATTTAACTGTATAAGATTTTTTCCATTTTTGTGATTTTCAGTATAAAATCTTTCAATTACATTTCTTTGATTAAATTCATCCATTTTTAATGGAAGGATTGGATGAATTTAATCAAAGAAATGTACTTACATAAACCTTTTCAATAAATGGAATCAAGAACCTTCTAGAATGTATGCTTTCTCATGCACATGTGCAATTATTTGAAATTACCAGAAAACATCATTGAAATTTCTGCAGATTTTAACAACAAACACCTGAACATGCACAGATGTAAATGACCATTTCACAAGCTATCATCATCAATACCTGTGGTTCTTTATCCTATTATGCAGTGTCTGCAACTTTTTTATTTAATATCTCTTTTGATGATTATGCCAATTTTTACAGCTATATAAACTAATAATAAAGCATTTTATTATTAGTTTATATAACTGTAAAAAGTGGATATTTTGTATTCAATTTTTTTTTTTATCAGCAAATGAATATCAATCCTTTGATTCTTTAGCTATTTTGTAATTATTTAAATACAAGAATGATAGTTTTAAACTTTTTACAAAATGTGCACGATATCTGAATTCTTTTGTGTCTGAAATCTTTGTAACTGATCAGGTTGTGTATCACACTATTCCACAATTGGATAATTTACCATTTTTGAAAAACTCACTTTTAATACTATACTTTAAATTTTATTTAACAAAATAATAGTTTGAAAAGTTGGACAACAAACAGTGATGTGGCAGTGTACAATTAAATTTGTTCTCTATAGCCTTAATTCACAATAAATGATTGTAAACTAAAATGTATCCAGATGTGGAATAGGCTCTACCAGAGTTAATTTTTATGCATTTTTGGAAAAGGTTTGATCAGGCATTGTTTACCCACATCTGTAATTTTCACAGAAAAGTAATAAATCAGAATGGCTTAAATAAATTATTACTCTATTAATATAAATTACTAATTACTACTAATACATTTTTATAAATTAAAATGGCTTAAATAAATTATATAAATTAGTAAGTCTAATTAATATCATCATTTTAAAAAATAGTAAATTTAAATGTTTTGAATCAATATCTATTTAATCAAAGAATTGATTTCAAATATACAATAAATGTTTATCGATTTTCATTTTCGGAGGCTTTAATGATTTGTGTCTGTTACACAAGTTTCTAGTTATTGTATAGAATAATTTTAAAAATTTTACATATATTTTTGAAAACATTAAAGCAAAAATAAACAATTATAATAAACATGATAATATATTAAAAATGAAAATTCGACCACAATCTGGTACATACCTAAAACAAAAATACTAATTTAAAAGTACAGAAAATGAAATTATATGAAATTAAATAAAGTTTTATAATTAAATTTTTAAAAATACAAAATTATTTATTATTTTTTAAAATTATTAAAATTTTTCCTAATTCAATTATAAATTATTCCAATAATCTAATCATTAGAATTATCCAAACAGTAATAACAAATTACTCAAATCATTAAAAAAATAATAAGCACATAAAACATTGTATATTTAATATTTATCACCAAAAATTCAATTATAAAACTAAACACAGTTTAAGCATATTTAAAAGTATATTATTATTCTTCTTTTATAAATTTTAAGTACTGAATTAAAGTTAAAAAGCAGATAAACTATGTTCAGTGTTTAAAGAAAAAAATTTAAAAAAACAAATAATAAAAATTCAGAACTAAAGAAAATTTTAAATAAATATTTCAATAATGCAGACTGCGGATATTCATTTTCTCTTATCGACATATAATAATAAACAATTAACTAAATAAATAATGTTTAAAAAATAACAAATAAAAAAAATTTACAAAGATTTTTCATTATTTATACCTTTTCAGCAAATTTACTTTTAACATTACAATCAACAGTAGAAAATTCTTTTTCTTCATTGAAAACATTCATAAGTTGCTTCCTAGAATTTGTCGATAAAATACTATCTGATCTATTAGCATGATTATATGCTGCAGAATAATACGAATCAATATTTCTGACAGAAGAGTCAGACAAATTTTCATTAGAGGAACAGTTAGAATGCCAAATGACTTTTGTTGTTTGCTTCTGACCAATCTTTTCTAATTGTATAACAGGAGATTTCCTAAATATAAATAATTATTAAATAATTACATTTAAATTTAAACTATAAGAAATTACTGAAATATTAAAAGAAAAAAAAAACCTTCTATTGTTGGAATCTCTTAAATTTGGACTACAAAGTGGATCATTTAACAATGGACTTCTAATATATTTTCTTTCTCTTTTCAAAATCACTTCTCCAGATGTTCCTGAATTTTATATATAATCAAAGGTTGTATGGATAAAAATATTTATTGAAATCATTTAACTGTGATAAAAACATACCCAAAGTAGGAGAAAGACAAAAGATTCTTGAAGGCAAAATAGACTGATCTTGACTTTCTGATGGTGAATAAATATAATCAGGGGTTTGTGAACATAACTGAAATGACTGCTCCTATATTAAAAATCATCTGTTATAAATTATTATTGAGAAACAAAAAACAAACTTCACAAAAATTACTAACCTGAATATTAATAATAGAATTATGGTTTTTTCCATTATAAATCCCATCTAAACTGTTTACAGAAATACCAATACCAGGTAGATATTCTGTATTTAACCTCAAACTAACATTAAAGCAAAAAATTTGTTTTAGAAATATAATCATTTGGTATAATTTAATCTAAAATTATATATATTAATTAAAAATTTATCACCACATTAATATAGTAACTACTACGATAGCTTTAACTAACACTTTTAACTTTTAATCTAAAAAAATAATCCATATTTATGAAAACAATTTAAATTTATGCCATTTTCAATCTTATATTGATTACATAAATAAAAATGAATTTTAAACAAAATAAATTTACACTTAAATTTATATTGGCAAGAATTTATAAAGAATTATCTATACAGTAGAGCATCGTTTATCCGAAAGTTGATTATCCGAAAGAATTCCAGTCGGCCTAAAGTATAATTTTTATTTGTTTTTATATTTTTCAATGTATATATTTCATTTGTAAAACATAAAGAAATCATTTTTAATGATACAATAGCCACGATCATTATTTTAAAAAGTTTATGTTAGGCTTAACATTGACGAAAATTCAACGCAAAGCGACACGCAACAGAGAAAAATTTCAACACAGGATAGATTAATATATTTTTTCGTACATAATCGATTATCCGAAAAATAAGTTATCCAAACAATCCCAGTCCCCAATTGATTCGGATAAACGACGCTCTACTGTAATTCCTTCATAGAATACCAGTGACTCTTTCATTTTTCACATTCAATTTAACAATATATTGCTGCTTTACTTTGATGATGACACAACTAAAAACAAATACTGATTTTGCTTTTTTGTTTTTGTTTTTTTTTTTTTTGAATAAACTCCTTAGATACAGTACTTTTATCATGTAAAATGGCATATTTCTACCTCTATTGGATTTCCATCAGAGATCACAGATGTCATCAACTGTTAATCAATTAGAATTTTTAAATGTGTCCCTTGTAAAATTAACATTTTTTAAATTATGCTACTATCAAAACAAAGCAATGATATTTGATATATGGCTAACATTTCTTCAGCATTCTCAAAGTTTTTGGAGACAAGAAATAAGGATAGTCAAAATAAAAAGCATGAAATAAGAGAACAGACAGTATAAGCTTAACATAAAAGAATTTGTAAACAAATAAGACATTCACTGCCACAATCTCCATTAAATCTGTAGAAAGCAGCTAAAGAATTGTTTACATATAACATAATGATTCATGTGTTAAAAGTTTTGCTCTGCATTTTTTAATTTATATATCTAAATCAAAAATATATATAGTAAAATATTTTACGATAAGAATTCTTCATGTTTAAGAAAAAGATTCATAAAGCAAACATTCACATAATAGGATCTAGGTATAGATAATTTTCTTTATAAACATCTATACTACCTTAATTCTTGTAAGATATGAAGATTTAAAATGTGGTTTTCTAAATAATCTTTCAAGACAGGAAGCCATTGTTTTGCATTTGGTAATTTTACTGAAAATTAAAAATTAAACATTAAATTTTTTTTCCACCATAAAAGAAAAAAGAAAAAATTGTTAACTATAAAACACATGAACGATAACTTTCATATTTAAATACCTTCCTTTAACTGTTTTTGTTGAAACTTTAAATATACATTCCAAATTCCTAGTATACTAAAACAAAGTCAGAAATAATAATCATTAAAAACTTAATTGATAATTGCATATTTTATTTTATTCTAGTTAACATATTCTTATAAATTCAAATGTCATTTATTTTGTTCTGCTATTATAATACAGTAGAACCTCGAAAACTCGGCCTAATGTGGACCGAAGGGTGGCCGAGTTTGTGAAAATGCTGGGTTATCGGGAATGGGGTTAATAAAGGATAAGTATGCGTGTTTCCTCAGAAAATAGTGTACTGTACTTGTATGTATTGTTTGCTGGAGAATACAACAGAGAATAAACTGCCCAAATACCCTTAAACAAAGGAAAAGTACGTACTTTATGAAGGCATAGAGCCTTTACTACATGAAAATGAAAATTAATGAATACACTGTGTACAGTAATTTACCTGATAAGACAGACCTCA